TTTAATAAAAATTACATACTCCATTTAAATTGAAAAGGAGCCCCAGCCAGCTGGGAGATTAAGAGGACATCTAGACTTGATTCATTTAAGGATTTTGCATTGCAGAAAAGGTTCGGCGGAAGGGAAAAAATGTGGTTCAAAGACTGTGTGACTCAGGCTAACAGTTCCAATAAACCGTTATAAACCTGAAATACCAGGTTGTTGGGAATAACAACTGGCGTTACTGCGCTGTTGGTTATAGCCAATTATATGTTCTGCACGAAACCCCTGTTGCCCGATTTTGATATCACTGTTGGCGGTGTCTGTTTATAATTTTAAAAATACATTTTGTAATCTCCACTTAATGCAAAACTGCACCCAAGAGAATCGTTATGTACAGTGTTTGCGATGTTGAAACATGCACTGTTACAAAATGCATCACGATCAGAATCAACGAGCATCACATTTTGAAATGTGTAAATACTGAACGTATGGTGTCATCACAGATTTTCAGCGATCCTTTCATACGGTTTTGACCTATGTGGGTGAATCTACACTGATTAAAATCTGGCGTTGATGTTTTACATTTTATATTACCACAATGTAGGTCACGGCCATACAATCTGGGAACAGCCCCGTTCTAAAAAGCAAGCTAATTACAGGGACTGCTCTAAGTATGGGAGTAACTTCCATCTTAAGGCAAAGATACTTTTGTGGAAGAGAGCCAGATGTGTTATCGTATTAGGTTGTGCTTGCACGGTACTTGGTTCTTGCTCCCTGGCCGGCTTAACACGGCTATGTCGATGAAATCGCCGTTATTACGGCACGAAGGGTGTGCCCACCCAATAAAATATCGGTGACTGAGTTCGGAAGAAGGAGGCTCTGATTTTAGTAATAATTCTAGGCGTGTCAGTTTAAAGCAAGATGACAGCTCTGGTCATAGACGTTCCATACCAGAACCCACGAGCACAGGTCTGGTGCAGTCAAACCAAGAATCAAAATAGAAGGGAATCTGGATTCGAACCCACGATGACAAGACGCAATTCTATACAACGATTGGCGGAAGCCAAGACGACCGTGCTATCTGGAGACTTTGAACGGCATTATGATGTGATGCATATAAACTTGTAATCATGGAGACAACGAACAAAGTTTTACAAATATTTTATGACATGTTATTGGAAATATCACAAACTAAAGGCGAGAATTTATGGATGTCGACTTCTTCTTTTGATTCACCTGATGAACGAGTAAGAATATACTCCGAAACGTCGTATTCCATAAATTATGTGTCTATAAGCACCGGGGAAACCAGTAGCCTAATGGTTAAAGCGTTTGCTCGTCACATCTAAGGCCCGGGTTCGATTCCCGACATGGGTACAATGTGTGAAGCCCATTTCTGGTGTCCCCCGCCGTGATATTGCTGGAATTTTGCTAAAAGCGGCGTAAAACCATACTCACTCACTTAATAGCACCACAAATTCAATCTTTAAATGATCAATTTAAAGCCAGGAACCAACATTTCAAGGTCACACTTACCACTACCAGTCAAAGGGTAGGAAACTAAGACCGATCTGATGGCGTTACTTCGGTGTTTCCTATCTAATCGCATTATCTTATTCCGACATAGCAGGGTGACACATATCGATGCTCTTGCATACATCACGCTCGAGACACAATTAATAATACATGCACGATCGATGCCGCTTATTGTAATAACGATCGCCTCGATCCTGATATTCAGAAAGGTTTTCGCACAAATGATATCCAACCAGCCCAATTTAAAACCGATTTGCGTAGTGATGACGTCGGATTGAATGTGCAGAAACTGTATATATCATTTTAAAAACACATCAATCATATTTTAAATATCGAAATTCCCGTTGGCAATTCCCCTTGGCAGTTCCATCGATTTATTTATACATGCAACAGTCACGGTAATTTAACATGACATAGATGATAGATAGTAAACAACCAGTACCGTTGGTGTGGTCTTAAAGGATTTATTGTATGTATGGTAGACTTAGACAGATCGAATTAAGGCACTTCTCATTCCGGTAAGGATAAGGATTGGCTGAAAATGGCGACCCTCCCCAAAGTTTTCTTTATTTTTTAAGACCTTCCCCGAGCTTTTGTGCAATTTTCCCCTGAAAATACAAAATACAAAAAAATGTTTAAATATATAATACCCTTTCCGACATGTATTTATTATCATCTAACGCTCCCATAGAGGCCATCGTATCCCATTTGCATAGATCGATGCTCAAGCTGTTTATCACTGGATTGTCTGGTCCAGACTCGATTAGGCTATTTACAGACCGCCGCCATATAGCTGAAATATTGCTGGGTGCGGCGTAAACTACACTCACTCTCTTATACAGGTCGCCATATATTGTGGTGACCTTCCCCCGATTCCCTCTGACCAACTCCCAAGAAGCCCACAAAAATAAAAAAGTTGAAATAAAAATTATAGGTCTCCAAAACAACAGCGAAATAGCATTTCATTCACTACAGTTTCCCTGATGTCGAAACTGAATGTTACAAGATATGTAGTTCGCAATGCACCGACATGTTTACAGCAAATGTAAGTATAGACATCCCGTGATGTTATGCGGCATTCTATGGATCTCCTTCCTAGCAGGATCTGATCGTAATCAAAGTTTTAAGTAACCTCTGTTTACTATCTATTCATTGGAAGTGTTAACAAATGTCGAATGGATGTCGCTCTCTGTCTTTATCTCGACAAATTCCACCCTCAAGGACACACTTAGATTCGTCATACAGGAACTACTTGAACGTGTGATGCTATAATCATCTGTAGATCTTGAACATAAACACCACAACAACCTCCGGACCCAAAACGTGATGAAATGAACATCGACACCCTGCTCGTGTCAGATAAAGGTCTTGTTGGTCACAGTTCCCTGATGGGTGCAGTTTGTGAAACTCATCTCCTCCGTCCCTAGATGTGATATTTACGCCAAACTAAAATCAGTAGAAAATCATGCATAAAAGCGCACGTAAGCTTGAATTCACGAAAAAAATGTGATATGTTAAAAGGAATAACACTAAACCGTGCATGATGTAGATCAAATGTATATTATCATCAGACCGTTTTCGTTTTGGGTAACAACTCTTCAAGCCACACCCAAAACAACATGGCTACAACGGCCATGATGGTCCATCAAGCCTCAACCCCGACCGTCAGTGTTTACGTACTCTATCAAGCTAAATTACAGACCCTTAGTTAATTTGACGGTACAATGGTGACTCCGCGTGTTGTCGATTTAATTTCACTCGAGAAAAATCGTTGTCACGAGAAGATTTAGTCGGCGGGGCTCACTTTAATTATTTACCCTTGCCGTGTGTTTTCCATCTGTGTTTTTGTACGCCTGTTCCCTCTTTTATATCCCTACGCGACGTGAATCGATCAAATCCGACCTTTTCACACACGCACATCCGGTTACGGCTCCGCATTTCGAGAAGGCATTGCGTTCTCAAATCCCTTTCCCCGCAACCCAGGGCAAGCACTTGTGTGGCGTCTACATAGCTGAAAGTCCCACTCAGAAACTGCGTCAATTGCAAATGTCTGCCTTTCGTTTTAGGCAAGCTGTAGCGCGATCGTAACTCGAGGAGAAGGAAATTTAGAATACACCGTCCCGTTCCGGTCGTCCCCGTATCCTTGACAACGGGCCGTGGGGTCTGGTCGGTTATCATTAAAACTCGAAATGCAGTTTCGGTTAACGACAAAAGTACCGCGCAGTGTACAAACCTATTCTTAATTCATCTGGAGTTGTTTAACACGCTGGCCTGTCATCACGCGCTGGCGGGGAGGAAATAGCGTGGCCAAACAGACAGCCTATAATTATATCGGAATATTAAGAGATCTCTTTGGCAAGTTAAATTATAGATTTAAATAACAAAGAAATATCTGCAACAACTAAAATTCCAATGACTGGTAACCAAACTATAAGAAACACCTAACGCATTATATCATTGTTGGTAGTAATGTAGTTGTTGTTGTTGTTGTTGTTTGCATGTTCTATTAATCTTAAAACAGGTTTCGTCTATTCATATTTGAGGGAATAAAACCGTATTACTTTCTATTACATCAACGATTACGGGGATATATTCAGGACTCCACTCCATTGCTGTACGACTGTATTAAGTATGGTCGTTATGTTCATCTCAATGGAACAGGAAACTGGGATAGCGCAAACAGTAGCAATTCAATTTCCATTTTCTTCAGCATCATAAAGCCCACCTGGAGTGTATATGCTCCATCTGGTGATGTAGAAGTGCACTCACACAACAAGCCGATAAGAACGTCAACCGTAACACAATTACGTGACATATTAGCAAGGGATGTTTAACATAGGTGTAATGTTGACATTTCACTATTGACTTGAACTGTGCAGCTTCTCGACGCTGGAAAGGCAAGAGGTTTCTATTGAGGCCAAATATACGTGTTTATTTACACACCCAACAGAAATGTGTCCAACAGCTCGCCTACACGTGTAAAACACGCTATTATTCGATAAGCTGTTGCTACGAGATGCAGCCGACGCATGTTCATTCAATTACACGAGATTGTCCAGCAATATACACCCAACACCCGACACCCAACACCAAACACAACACCCAACATCCAACACCCGACACATAATATCCAACACCTTACACCCGACATCAAACACACAACATCCCACACCCGACACAGAATATCCAACACCCGACACACAACACCCCACACCCGACACACAATATCCAACACCCAACATCCAACACCCGACACATAACATGCAACACCCAACACCCGACACATAACATGCAACACCCGACACCCAAATCCCGACTTGGTGGACACATGTCATCGAATCCCAATGAATATTGCGGCGTAAAACAAAAACCAAACGAAACCAAACTAAACCTGGATTATCTAGTGATTCACTACTCAATTCCATCCTGATAACTACCCAAAGCTGAGCCCAGTATAACTACCACAGTTTCTTTTGTTTTAGCCCGTTACCAGTTCACGACGTGGGCTGTTCTAATTCCAATAACTCGTATGAGCGGGAGCCATTCTGGGCACGGAGATCGTAGCGATGGCGGTGATGACGTCACTCCCGAAACGAAGTTATGGCAGCTAATGGCTGACGGGTATTTATAACAATAGAATGAGATATAATTCACTGGTTGATGGAGACTGACTTTGCTAAACTGACAGGTGTGCATGTTTCCTTGGCTGCAGAGATACAAAATAAAGCTCTGAAAACCTGAAAGAAGACGGAAAGACTGTTTGGGCGATATGAGAGTTCGTTAGCAATAGCGCTAGAATAGTACCAGAAGAAAGAAACTTGAAATCGTTTTTTATCCAATCGTTATGAAATATTTGATCCTTCTTTTGGTAAAATGAACTTCAATGAAACGGGTCCTAACCGAACGGTTAAAAACACAAGTAGTGTTGGTTTCAGACTAGCAACTAGTCTCTGAAATGAACATATTTACTGAAAAAAAGCTCATAATGAAGAAAATATAATATAATAAAAAGGAGCCCAGGGACAAGCTGTGGAAATCTAGACTTGCCACATTTTCTAGACTTGCGTGGGCTTTCTTGGATATATTTGCTTCAGGGTCTGAACGACAGACTATGTTGGTTTGTAAGAAATGAGTAGATAAACCACAGTATTATTGTTACTCGTTGTTATACTCACTCATCCGACTATTGTTACTCACTCACTCATCCGACTATTGTCACTCACTCACTCATCCGACTATTGTTACTCACTCACTCATCCGACTATTGTCACTCACTCACTCATCCGACTATTGTTACTCACTCATCCGACTATTGTTACTCACTCACTCATCCGACTATTGTCACTCACTCACTCATCCGACTATTGTCACTCACTCACTCATCCGACTATTGTTACTCACTCACTCATCCGACTATTGTTACTCACTCACTCATCCGACTATTGTCACTCACTCACTCATCCGACTATTGTTACTCACTCACTCATCCGACTATTGTTACTCACTCATCCGACTATTGTTACTCACTCACTCATCCGACTATTGTCACTCACTCACTCATCCGACTATTGTTACTCACTCACTCATCCGACTATTGTTACTCACTCACTCATCCGACTATTGTTACTCACTCACTCATCATCCGACTATTGTCACTCACTCACTCATCCGACTATTGTCACTCACTCACTCATCCGACTATTGTTACTCACTCACTCATCCGACTATTGTTACTCACTCACTCATCCGACTATTGTTACTCACTCACTCATCCGACTATTGTTACTCACTCACTCATCCGATCAACGTTGTTGATGAGCTTTAGGTTACAGTGTAACAGTCTGATTGTTCCACACACCACTGGGATCTTGTTATTGCATAATGACAGATATAAATACTATTTCTAATTAATATTTCACAACACCTATTTACTTAAATCCATATCTCATATAGACACATTCCTATTTTCCCACATTAAATGCATCTTGGTCGTTAATGGATGGAATACAATTGTAGAATAATTGTGTACGTAATGATGCTATATAGCTCATAAATAACAATCGACCAGAGCGGTACATGTTTTCATCAGCGACGCTTTCTGACGCGCCTACTCGGATTTTGTTTCGATCGATTGCAAATTGCCGATGACGACAATAGACCTGGAAGGTAGATGTCATATATAGCTCAGAAAGTGTAGACATTGGCTTCATGTAATTGAAGAGGATGAAGTCGGTAAGTGTCCACGTGTTTTCAGTGCATTCCTCAGATATTTGCGACCGTGCGAAAACATAAAGTAGCGCTTAATGCGTATTTTCTCATTATTACCAAACCGTTTAAGTATAGAAATGGTAGTCGTTGTGTCAGTGTGGAAAAGGTAGTCGTTATGTCAGTAAAGAAATAGTAGTCATTGTGTCAATCGATGTGTCGAAGTCGTAGAGTTGTAGAATCGTAGAGGTAGTAGTCGTTATAGTAGCAGTAGCAGCAGTAGGAGACGTGGTGATGTGTGTGAGTGAGTGAATCTAGTTTTACGCCGCTTATCTATCATAAGCATATAATTCATGAATCCTGATCAAACTAATCACACCCGGTGTTCGCCCACCTTATCGCCGTAGGTATGCTTCACAAACACATGCATTGACAAGACAAATTATTCACTTGTGAGTGAGTGAGTTTACTTTTACATCGCTTTTAGCAATATTCCAGCAATATCACGGCGGGGACACCAGAAATGGGCTTCACACATTGTACCCATGTGGGGAATCGAACCTAGGTCTTCGGCGTGACAAGCGAACGCTTTAACAACTGGGCTATCCCACCGCCACTGGTGGTGGTGGTGGTGGTACGTAGTAGCGAGGAAGTTACGTTTCACATCTCTCAGAGCTGTGTCTCCGTTACCTCCTGGCGTGTCAAACACCATTCAAATCAATTTTCCATAACGTAAATTTGCCAATGCGAACTGTTATCTGTCATCAAAACCAAACCATTCCGTCCTTTTGAAATAAAAATAAAATCAACATTTTAACAAATATTCGTTTCAGTTGCGACACCCGTGTATTACCTGCCATTATGATGATCGTTATCATTATTGTGAGCACGGGGAAAAGGACGTGAAACGCGCGGTACACGACATACAGGTTTTTCCGCCTAAAGCACGCACACTATTTGCAAGCACAAGCATATGCGGACATCGAATATTTCAAAGTGAGATCAACCTTTGATAGCCGTATATTTGTTAGCAACTGCACGTAACAAGATTCAATAACGTACAAAAAAATTAAGCCCACTGCTCCGTTGGCGAGAAATACGATCAGTAGGCAAGCTGGAGCTATAGAGGCGATATTCGTGTTAATGAATAATAAAGCGTCATTTTGAAAACCAGCCTGGCTGCCAAGTTCCGCGAATAAAGCCCAAATATCTCTCTATTCAAGCCGGAGAATTTGTTCAACCCGCGACGCAATATGGAACGTGTTCTTTGTAAAGAAGCTCGCCTTCTTCTCCCACCAATACCCCAGCCATTCCCCTACTCGTTTACATTTCGAATTTGGATCTTTTCAAAATGTACGTGAAATCGTGACCTTTGTGGCGTGGACTCGCTCTACTAACAGGTCCTGAACAACCTCTGCCCTCATACTCGCTTCGTCAACTTGTACTAAAACAAAAAGCCGGGACTGCCGTTTCAACCGATTCTCTTATCTGAACGCTTCCCGTATGTGCCTCAAGCCTCGTACATAAGAAAGGAAAGTGAAGCCTGTCGTTTACCGTGGATCGGCCATGTTAATCGGTCACGTGACGGAGCCGGATGCTCCTTCGGGGAAACGCAACCTTTCGTGTCCGTCAATATAAATTGCATTTCTACGAGACTTGACTGCGGGCGTTTTTAACCCTCGGACAAGCGATGTATTTAATTCGATGTCGATATACTGTACTCGGGTTTATAGCGGCGAGCGAGTGTAAGCGTCTAAAATATACGTATGACTCTACGGATTTAGGTTAAAGAGATCGTACGCCGTATCCGTCTGTTTATTAGCCTGTAACTGCCATCTATGTATATTTGCTGCATACAATGTTGTGAATTACCCCTAACTAAACACAATTTATTTATATGGAAGATATGAGTTAAATGGATTAACATCTATTCGGAACGTGGCATTAATATAAATGTTTATCAGTTATTGACTACTTGTTTCGCTATTTGTAGGAATCTGATTGTGACGATAAGACCAAGAAGTAGCTGGTCCCAAAGGTATTTAGTATGGAAGTATTGTTGTAGGAGTGGGTTTTTGGGTGGGTTTTTTGTTTGTTTTTGGGGGGTTTTTTTGTTTGTTTTGTCTTGTGCGTGTGTGTTTTCTTGGGTTTTTGTTGGGGTGGGGTGGGGGATGGGGGTTGCGTGTGTACGTGTGTGTGTTAAGTTTGTTGGCGGGACAATCTAGGGCTCGACCTGATCATCCATCTAAGTGAGTGAGTTAGTTTAGTTTTACGCCGCACTCAGCAATATTCCAGCTATATGGCGGCGGTATGTAAATAATCGAGTCTGGACTAGACAATCCAGTGATCACCAGAATGAGAATCGATCTGCGCAATTGGGAACCGATGACATGTGTCAATCAAGTCAGCGAGCCTGACCACCCGATCCCGTTAGTCGCCTCTTACGACAAGTATGGGTAACTGAAGATCAATATTCTAACCCGGATCTTCACGGGTATCATCTATCTAAGCAATACCAGGATAGATAATTATCTATGTCAGTTTTAACTGTTAGCCCTGGCGACTTCAGTGCTGTATGTTGGCATGGCTTGATCATGCTCTATGCAGTGCCGTCAACTATCACTTTACTGCATATTTTAATATCGACATTCATTAAAATCCTAAGGGAAATTAATCAGGAAAAAAGGGTTCCACTCCAAACAAATATAGATGGTTCGGTAAAACCCTCTTTCTTCAGGACTGATCGACACCAATATCCACAAGCAATGTGTCACATGCGTATAATGTTATCGCTTGTAGCGTTTGAAGAATATATGTATTCAGTGACTATGTTATATTCGTTGACTTTAAACTGCTTAATCATACATAAAAAACTCGAGACCCGTGAAGGTCCGGGTTGGAATGTACCTTCAGTAACCCATGCTTGTCGTAAGAGGCGACTAACGGGATCGGGTGGTCAGGCTCGCTGGCTTGGTTGACACATGTCATCGGTTCCCAATTGCTCAGATCGATGCTCATGCTGTTGATCACTGGATGGTCTGGTCCACAATCGATTATTTACAGACCGCCGCCATATAGCAGGAATATTGCTGAGTGCGGCGTAAAACTAAACTCACTCACTCTAATACTCGGGGCGGTGGGTTAGCCGAGTTGTTACAGCGTTTGCTAGCCACACTGAAGGCCCAGTTTAAAGCCCCTCAAGGTACAATGTGGTTAGCTGGAATATTGTAAACCCAGCTCAGTCTGAAATCAATGTCTTTTGTCAATGTACACACGCTATAGACAATAGCATTCACCGTGAATATAATCTATACGACCATAACGCTTGTCAATATGAATTAAACATCACAGCATTCAACTTTTCGAAAAAACATGTATAGTAGTCAGACATCCATTGGGATAATCGGTTTACTCAAATTTCCTCGACAGCGGTGTAATACACTGTCGGGCAAAAGAAGGTACACTACAATGTGTGATTCAGGCTAAGATCGTAACAAACAAGAACTTATCATTCGATAGTGATGTCTTTGATACTGATTTGATAGTTGTGTTAAGAACCTAGCTGAAATGTGCAGTTTTTAAGGCGACATTTTTCAGCCTAGTAAGGTTTGGATAACGTTTTGAAATTTTGGGTCTAATTTGAAAGTGTATACCTTTTTTTGCCCGGCATTGTACTGCATTCCAGAGACATAAACCGAAAAGTCAGTGAGTTTAGTTTTACGTCTCATTCTGCAATATTCCATCAATACCACTGTGGGGGGACACCAGGAATGGGAGAAGCCGAAAAAAATAGGTTGAGTATGTGAACCTTTGCTTCTTAGGACGGTAAAGTCAATGCTGATATCCGTTTTATTTATGCTCACGGTAATGATATGTACTTTTGTTGATACTAACAGAGAGGTCTACGACGCCGTCAATTATGACAATAAAGATTATGCTGACGCCGCCGGTACTGATGATGAAGAATATTATGACAACCACGTTGATAATGAACTATGAAGTGTTGTGAAGCTGACTCAAGTAGGAAACGACGACGCCGACGGTGATGTTATATAAAAGACAACAACAAATACTGTTGCTGCTGGAGACATGGGAGTGATTGTGGTGACAATCACTAAACCAGGTGATTAGTACAATATCAGGAATATTAGTATAATGATTAGCATTGTGATGCCAACGATGCCTTCCATATATTAGGATATGACGAGCTCTAACAGGAAGAAGCGAGGTGTCATGAATGGATCCAACAAGAAGCTAGGTGTCATGACTGGGTCCAACACAAAGAAGCTAGGTGTCATGACTGGGTCCAACACAAAGAAGCTAGGTGTCATGACGGGCTCCAATAGAGAGAAGCTTGGTGTCATAACGGGCTCCAATAGAGAGAAGCTAGGTGTCATAACGGGCTCCAATAGAGAGAAGCTAGGTGTCATAACGGGCTCCAATAGAGAAAAGCTAGGTGTCATAACGGGCTCCAATAGAGAGAAGCTAGGTGTCATGACTGGATCCAACACAATGAAACGATGTGTCATGACGGGCTCCAACAAGAAGAAACTGGGTGTCATGAAAGGCTCTAGCAGGAAGAAGTGGGGTGTCATGACTGGATCGAACAGAAAGAAACGAGATGTCACGACATGCTTCAACAGGAAGAGGCTATGTGTCCTGACAGGCTCCAACAAGAAGAAGCGAGGTGTCATGACAGGCTCCAACAGGAAGAAGCTAGGTGTCATGACTGGCTCCAACACAAAGAAACGAGGTGTCATGACTGGCTCCAACACAAATAAACGAGGTGTCATGCCCGGCTCCAACAGGAAAAAGCGGGGTGTCAAGACAGGCCCCAACACAAAGAAACGAGGTGCCATGCCTGGATCCAACACAAAAAAAAGAGGTGTCATGACTGGCTCCAACAGGAAGAAGCGGGGTGTCATGGTGGGTTCCAACACAAAGAAACGAGGTGTCATGCCTGGATCCAACAGGAAGAAGCTATGTGTCATGATGTGCTCCAACAAGAAAAAGCTAGGTGCCATGACTGGATCCAACGCAGCGAAACGATGTTTCATGACATGCTTCAACAGGAGGAAGCGAGGTATCCTAACAAGGTGAATCCTGATATACCGATGGAGTCAAACGAGAAGTGTTGACATAGACTGGTACCTCAGCAGAGATCGCCAAGTACGAGAACACTTTGTGAAACGTTTGTTACCGGTTGCTTTCGTTAACAAAGACCAAGTTCACGTATCTGCACACAACTTAACATACTGTTGCTGTTGTTTTTAATTCTGTTCATCATCATCATCATCATCATTACTATTTACCCGTGAAGGTCCGGGTTAGAATTGATCTTCAGTAACCCATGCTTGTCGTAAAAGGCGACTAACGGGATCGGGTGGTCAGGCTCGCTGACTGGGTTGACACATGTCATCGTATCCCAATTGTGTTCGTGCTGTTGATCCTTGGATTGTCTGGTCCAGCCTCGATTATTTACAGACCGCCGCCATATAGCTGGAATATTGCTGAGTGCGGCTTAAAACTAAACTCACTCACTAACTCATTATCTTTTTCCTGTTTTACCTAAAACGCCGAAACATGTCCTGAAGGAAGGTTACATTGAAAATACTGAGTCCTCCTCGAAACAAGCTCCAAAGAAACTCTTCGGCTATTTCTAGCAACGTGACTTCCAAAATGGCGCTGTCATGTTTGCTTGTTATGTGATTCCCTGTGATATCGTGTAACCTATCTAATTTTATCTGTCACTCTGTAGGATTTCACGTCCAGTAAAACGATCTTACACGAAGACGGCACACGTTACATTAAACTGATTAGTGCTGTAATGATGTATCATCGAATTATCGATGGATTGCAATTGTTGTGTCTCCGATAGCAATTAATCTATAGTAGAACCGAAAAACTATCTATGTATCGATAGTACGTGTGACTATCGATAGTTAAGTAATTGACTTCCGTGGATAAATGCGCAGCGCAAAATACAGGAAGTACCAGATTCGTTCACTTTGATTAGAGTTATGCGCCCTTGTTACCTCTTAAACAAAACATGGCGGCAAACACGGCATGCGACTCGGTTTGTGGAATTGTGAAAAACAATAAGTTTATGTTTTAACTGTTTACTTGATCTGTTTTCTTGTCAGTTATTAAAAGAGACTGAAACAACTTCAACTTGCATTTTTTTCATATAAACTATACATTCATTTTGGGAAATGACTTCAAATTAGACAATTCAAGGAGAGAAAAACTAAAATGATTACCGAGAGTCCATCTGCAAGATTGTTGACGAAAGAGTTGATGGAATATCGTCAGGGCCAGTTAGTAGGTCTGGCTATCGATATAGATCATAGCGATCGAGAATCTTTGACTAAATATCGACACATCATCAATATATATCGGAGAAGTAACTTTGAGCATAACTGTCAAACATATCTGATAGAAATTAATACATTTCACGTTACTGGTGGGTGGTAACATGTTATACATGACTTACAAAACAGTTTCCTGAATATAATTTAGAGGCAGTCCATAGATAGACGGAGATTTATGTATTGTGTAACCAAATTAACACTATATTTCATTTCAAGAGTCTATATACGATATTATCGATGACTCAGTTTTCATATCGATACCCATTAATAATTTTCTTCCCATCGGCGATATTTCCGATTATCAATCTGTTCAGACATATCTACCAGTTAGATACGAGTGATCGCTTGCCTTCCGTTGCCATTAACAAAACCCTAGCCTTGCTCCAAGGCTGAAATGAAGTACTGCCCTTGGATGTATCCTATTCTGTATTTCTATCCTTTAAAAAGGCAAGTTTCGATGGGCGGACAGTCCGACAGTCTGCTTGAAAGATGTTCATATTTTTTTAGAAATTATTTAAACTATTAATTATATCAGAGACTTGTCTAACAAAATCCTAGTGGTCGATTACATTGCAAGCTAACCGAGCACATTATCCAATATCACATGCAGCTTTACGTTCACATGCATCGAAATAAAGGACATCTGTATATTTTCATATATTTCGTGTAATGAAAACATTAATAGAGAGTAATAAATTTATTGATTTTCTATTATCGAAATTTATCTCAATTCATGGTCAATAGAATCAGGATAGTTACATTCGGGGAAATAGAAATTAGATATTTAAATAGAGCATCCCAACTGTTAAACGATTGCCTGTAAATCAAAATATTCAGGTAACAAGTGCATAATTGCTTCATGTAATGTTTCCGGTTGTTTAAACACTCGTTATTAAAATGAAAACTAAAATTACTGTCCGTTTTTATAGATCTTTTGTACGATTTCGAGTGTATCAAAAACATGTGTGCGCGAATGCCCAGAAACATCACAATGATACCAGGTGATCGCGAGCAGGTAAGCGTGTCCTCCTGGTCCTCTAGAACACGGCATAAAAACAAACCTGAACAAACACATAAATATATGTTGTAAGTCGAACAAACACATAAATATATGTTGTAAATGGAACAAACACGTAAATATATGTTGCAAGTCTAACAAACACGAATATATATGTTGTAAGTCGAAATGAGGGATTGCATCATTTTGGCCACAAATGTGTCAGATTTGGGTATGACCTCTTCGTGTCTACCATACATCGCTTTGAAGATTGTTCAAATGTTTTTACTGAATGATGACCACTGAGACACAGAGTGCAAGCATCGCATGTCGTTCTTTAATATCTTCATGGAAAGAGCATGTTTTATTGTACACCAAGGCTGTCAGATTTAGACACCCGAGACTGGAATACCATGACAATACTGGGCATTTTAGCTGACAAGCTGTGTGATTGAAACTCCAACGCTAATAAAATCGGATTTACAAAGGAAAATATTACGGCACTGTTTTTGCCTGAACATGATATATTACCTCAAATTATTGATGATCAAAACAGTCACGAGGCGTAGCGCAAATTTCAATTAAAAATAAATACAGTTACGACTGAGTCCCGCTGTAGGCGCTGTTTAATTATGAATTGTATTGTAACGTATAACAAACGGAATATATGTGAAACAGTTCTCACTGTGTGCCGATGAACAGTAGTTGTAGGTTGACCTCACAGCTGCAGGCGAGGAGAAAAGCCCACCTAGCGAACACTGAAAGCGGACCCAGTGATCCGAAGATTTAATGTGCTAACACTTGAAGCGTGTTATGAAAGTGATCTACATTATTTACATATCGCGTATATTCCTATAGTTAAAAGGTGAGACCTAAGTGAGTTGTAGCTGACTCCATGATATGAGACCGCATATTTTTCGCTACCAGGGAACGAAAGTTTCATGACCAGCCGTGGGACATGAATGTGTGTATAGATCGCCTGAAAGTGTGCGTGTGTATCGTTCCCTGAAAGTGTGCGTGTGTATAGTTCGCAGGAAAGTGTGCGTGTGTATCGTTCCCTGAAAGTGTGCGTGTGTATTGTTCCCTGAAAGTGTGCGTCTGTATCGTTCCCTGAAAGTGTGAGTGTGTATAGTTCCCGGAACATGTGCATGTATATTGTTCCCTGAAAGTGTGCGTCTGTATCGTTCCCTGAAAGTGTGCGTGCGTATCGTTCCCTGAAAGTGTGCGTCTGTATCGTTCCCTGAAAGTGTGCGTCTGTATCGTTCCCTGAAAGTGTGAGTGTGTATCGTTCCCTGAACATGTGTGTGTGTTGTTCCCTGAAAATCTGCGTCTGTATCGTTCCCTGAACATGTGCGTGTGTATTGTTCCCTGAAAGTGTGCGTGTGTATCGTTCCCTGAAAGTGTGAGTGTGTATCGTTCCCTGAAAGTGTGCGTGTGTATAGTTCGCAGGAAAGTGTGCGTGTGTATCCTTCCCTGAACGTGTGCGTGTGTATCGTTCCCTGAAAGTGTGCGCGTATAAAATTCCCATGAATGTTTGCATGAGTATCGTTTCCTAAGAGGTGTGCGTGTGTATCGTTCCCTGAAAATGTGTGTCTTTATAGTTCCCCTGAAAGTGTGTATATAGTTTCTCTGAAAATGCCAGTGCTCCCCTGTATGCACGAATCCCAAGTCTGCTTTATGTCAAGAAGTAGGTGACGGTACTAAATCTTAAAAGATTAGGACGCGCGGGGGAAGTCTATATCACCGGCCTGTGCGTCTGGGGATCTTGTCAATTCAACGGGAGGACATAATTTTATTATCATGTAATTGCTCTGCTAATATTTCTAAAGGAGGCGTGTGTTTATTTTGTAGGTGTTAAGGTTGAGGGAAAAGACGTCCGAGAACGATTAATCGCGGGCGATAAGAATTTAGAAAGTACAAACATCAGTTGAATAATTGTGAAACAGAACTGGGTGGTATGGGTGGAATAACCGATAGACTTTACCCCGTCTACACAGACACATACCCCGTGTATATGAACACATTCTTCATGAACACATTCCTCATATATACAGTCGCATTCCCTAGTTATACAGACACATATCGCGTTTATACTGACGCATTTATAATGTTTACAGACACATTCCCAGTTTATACTGACACATTCCCCGTCTTCTGCACTGATACATCACCCACCTCTTACTGACACATTCCCACCTCATACTGACACATTCACCGTTTATGCTGCAGATACATCCAGTAAAACACAAAACGGACACAGACACGTAGGCAAAAAGACACCTACATTCAACGTACCACAAAACAGACACAACCAACCACGTAAATTGACAGCTACATTCAACGTACGACAAAACAGACAAACAAGTACCTAAATAGACACCTATATTCAACATGCAAGAAAACAGACAAACAATGACCTAAAAAGACACCTATATTCAACATGCTAGAAAACAGACAAACAAGGACCTAAATACACACCTATATTCAACATGCTAGTAAACAGACAAACAAGGACCTAAATAGGCTGCTATATTCAACATGCTAGAAAACAGACACACAAGTACCCAAATAGACACCTATGTTCAACATGCTAGAAAACAGACAAACAAGTACCTAAATAGACACCTATCTTCAACATGCTAGAAAACAGACAAACAAGGACCTAAATACACACCTATATTCAACATGCTAGAAAACTGACAAACAAGGACCTAAATAGACACCTATATTCAATATGCTTGAAAACAGACAAACAAGGACCTAAATAGTCACATATATTCAACATGCTAGAAAACAGACAAACAAGTACCTAAATAGACACCTATATTCAACATGCTAGAAAACAGACAAACAAGGACTTAAATAGACACCTATATTCAACATGCTAGAAAACAGACAAACAAGTACCTAAATAGACACCT